AGTCTAAGAAATAGATTTTAGAAGAAAGACCTGAATAAAAACTAATGGCATCATTACAGACAGTGTATCCAAGTCTAAAGCCTCCACTCGACAACACCAGTATATTCCTGTATGGAGTCTGTACAGCTACATAACTCAAATCACCAACTATTTTAATTTCACCTGTATAAACCAATGCAACAGTTTTGCATTACATGTAAGGCTAATAAACTGGTTTGCCTCATGTACCTGTATTTCCTTTACTCCACACAAAGTGTAAATTCCTAAATTATATAAACATTACTGTTTGTTAATATAGAGTTCACACTGAACAAGCGCGTGATACCATTTTTAATAGCTGCCTAATAGGCTAATCCTGACTTCAGAAGAGTGAACCACCTGTAGAAGTAGACTTCTCTTGTAATGATGCAAGCATGACTTGTGAGAGCACCACTGATAAGGGATCAGTTACACTGCACAGTGAGGGTTGAATTTACTTGGTAGAGGACACTGCTCTCTGGTGGTCATTTATCAAAATCACAAGAATCAGTTGTAGAGATATGTTCTAAACTAGGTGCTCTACGACAGTAAATTGGAACAAAATAGTTTTACCTTGTTCTGTCCCTTTTCTCTCTCTCTCTGTATATATGTGTATATACACTCACTGGCCACTTTATTAGGTACACCTTGCTAGTACCAGGTTGGACCCCTTTTGCCTTCAGAACTGCCTTAGTTCTTGGTGGCATAGATTCAACAAGGTGCTGGAAACACTCTTCAGAGATTTTGGTCCATATTGACATGATAGCATCACACAGTCGCTGCAGATTTGTTGGCTGCACATCCATGATGCGAATCTCCCGTTCCACCACACCCCAAAGGTGCTCTATTGGATTGAGATCTGGTGACTGTGGAGGCCATTGGAGTACAGTGAACTCATTGTCATGTTCAAGAAACCAGTTTGAGATGAGCTTTGTGACATGGTGCGTTATCCTGCTGGAAGTAGCCATCAGAAGATGGGTACACTGTGGTCATAAAGGGATGGACACAGTCAGCAACAATACTCAGGTAGGCTGTGGTGTTTAAACCATGCTCTAAGGTGCCCAAAGTGTGCCGAGAAAATATCCCCCACACCATTACACCACCACCACCAGCCTGAACCGCTGATACAAGGCAGGATGGATCCATGCTTTCATGTTGTTTACACCAAATTCTGACCCTACCACTCTGGCCATTCTCCTCTGACCTCTGGCATCAACAAGGCATTTTCACCCAGAGAACTGCTGCTCACGGGATACTTTCTCTTTTTCGGACCATCCTCTGTAAACCCTAGAGATGGTTGTGCGTGAAAATCCCAGTAGATCAGCAGTTTCTGACAGACCAGCCCATCTGGCACCAACAACCATGCCACGTTCAGAGTCACTTAAATCATCGATTTGTACTTCAGCAGGTCATCTTGACCATGTCTACGTGCCTAAATGCATTGAGTCACAGCCATGTGGTCAGACAGACTCAGCTAAATTAATATAAATAAATAAGTTGATACAATTTAGTCTAAAATAACAGGATCTATAGCCTCCTGTATAAATCAAAGCTAAAAACAATGCAATTTTTATAAATGAAAATTATTACCAGACACCTGCTTGTTTATTCCTCTGTATCTATTTAAAGAGGATAGTGTTTATGATACATGTAATAATTAATTGCATTTAAAGATGTCTAATATTTGATAGCAGAAAGCAGGATGTCAAAATTAATTGGTGTGATCTTGTAACAGATAATATATTAAGAGGTAGCATGTCTGCATTAAATAAAATTCAGCCCACTATTAAGCTGTCACAGGCCAACACTACATGAGCAGGAGAAGAGACATCCTCACCAACAGACACACTAGACAGCCTATTTGACGAATATAAGGAATCCAATTCAGGGCGGTTTCATTAATGCAGAATCAATTTTCTGTGAGTCGGTCCTGTAAGATGAATGATAGATAGTATCGAAGGTGGCAGTCATGTTGAACAATAATACAGGAAACGACTAAAGTCAACACTTAGAATACCAGTTATTATCCTCAGATTACTTGTGGACAGTTGGAAAAAGTCAGACTGATGGGACAGCTTTATAAATTACCCTTGATTATAGCAGTTAGTTGTTTTGCAATAAGAGTTTTAATAAATTCTGAAGCTAAGGTTAAGTAAGTATGCAAGAAATTGGTGGCTTACCCCTGTAGCATAACATATGTTTCTGAAATGTATTCAGAAACAAATTTTGACTTACTGTTTAACTGTAATTATTACCAGCAGGCCGCCAAATTGTTTCCAGATGAGGAACCAAACTCGCATTATGTAATCCACCAACCCCCTGGTGTGGCGCATTGCATTCTGGTAGTTGTAGGTTTTCTACCTCTTGAACAATACCAAATCCATTTCCTGTGTTTTCACTGGTTAGTTAACACCAGTTACTGTATAGGCAGCCCAGTTTTGCGAAAAGACCATCTTTCCAGCAGTGAAATACTTCTCTAATGAAAATACAATTTTAAATTGTCCTATGCAAGGACAGAGGCTTTGGATTTGTTTTCCGTGCTGACAAAAGTTAGCATTAAAAGTTCAGAGAGTAGGATTTAAGGGGCTATATTGGCAGACATTGAACAAAATATAATAAATATGTTTTCTTTAGTGTATATCCACCTGAAAATAATACTTGTTTCAGTGTTTTCTTTATGCTAGAATGAGTAGTTTATATCTACTTAAGGAGCTGGTCCTCATTCATGGAGATCGCCATGCTGTACCGCCATGTTTCTACAATAGCCAAGAATGGACAAACCTAACACTCACTCGAGACAGGGCCATTGACATTTTTACGTTTTCACATTAGCCCCCATAGTTAGATGACCATCTGCAATCAGCAGCATCGGAGTTACACTAGTTTGTGACGTTAAACTGCTTTATTCCGTGCCTTTAGTGGATTAAATCTGTTTGCTTTGGAGAAGAAGAGGCATCTGCAGATAATTCGGCTCCAAATAAAAACCCTCTCAACATCTGGATCTTAAGTTATTGGGTGAGGATACGTCAGCAGTTGGTTAACAAGCCGCCCACACCAACATGCCAAACAGCGTGAGAGAAACACTGATTTGCAACATGAAACTGATTTATTCAGTGTTTTTACCAGTTTAATTCACTGGTTATATTTGTTTTGGAGAGGAAGAGACCTCTGCAGATAATGCAACTCATGGTAACTCCTGAATGTCTGTGTCAGATAAAGTGAGCACACATTTGGTTATCAGAAAAAAAGGGTGAGCACAAAACAGCCTGTGGTGGGTGAGCAGTCCGTCTCTGAGATGCCAAACAGCATCAGAGAACTGGTTTTAATCACTTGGTGTGTTTGTTTTGGAGAGGAAGAGATGTCTGTGGATAATTGGGCTTGTGGTAAAAACCTCCTGAACAATGAACACACATGGAATTCTAGGTGGGAGAAGATTTAATTGGTTGCAATCTGCAATTCACCACTAGATGCCACCAAATCCCCCTAAATCTTACACACATTGCCTTTACGTTCTTTATTGATTACATGGTCTTAGCATCCTTTGAAACACTGACGTTAGAGTAAGTTTAAAAGGACTTACACATATCCTTTGTTGGCCTTCAGCTCATACTTGTATCAAATATATCTATTCTTCAGCTGTCACATCAAGATGACAAATAAAAACTTGAACTTTTAACTTTTACTTAATGATGTTGACTAAACCAATCCTTACTCCATTGGTCCTTGTGCTGTTGTATAACACAAAAGTTACTGCATGAAAATATGTTTTGGTGGTATATCCCGATTAAAGAAGCCCTGAGATTCATATAAGTGTTATTTTGTGATCTGTGTTGCTTCAACACCATCAGCTTCTTTTAGAACCAGGAGGCTCTGCTACAGTCAAACATTTTAGCTTGAGTCAACCCTGCCTCAGAGTGGCCATGTCTTCACATTACAGCTAAATATAAAGCATCAAAGGCATGACCAAGCATGGATATGTTGTTGTATAAATGAAGTCTGTGACATTTTAGTTCCAGCTTCTGCTTTACAGTTCTAAATGAACTGATTTAAAGTCAATAAAAATAAAGGCAAACCCAGAATGTTCATTCTGTGTAATTAAACTCAAAGCTGATAGAGATGGTGATGTGAATGATACCCCCCCCCAAAAAAAAAGATAATTCAATGAGAAAATGGGTCATTTAATAATTAAATAAATACAATCACTGAGAATAAATAAATCATATTAAAATGTTTAATTTTAAGTGTCTTAGAGTGCTCCCCAAAATGGCAGTGAGGTCATGGGTGTGCCGCTCTGTTGATGCATTTTCATAGCTGCTGGCACTTAATTGTCAACATTTGCATACCTCATTTAAATGGCTATTTGCAAAACAAGAGAGCAGAGGATCCAAATATAAATGCACTTGCCCTTGAGCAGAACTAATTAAATTAAACTACTCAACAAAAAAATGGAATAAAGTGCTGTGGAAGGGTTACTTTCTTAAATGCATATGGTGGACAATTGTAATTAAAAATCTCAATGGGCATTGCTTTGGCGCCATCAGGTGGTGACATTAAGAATGACACTGTGTTAGACAGTGCAGACTGCCTTGTTCAGTCTACTCCAATAATCATTATTAACACATGGTAAATTGACTGCACTTGTACAGCACTTTTCTAGTCTTCTGACCACTCAAAGCGCTTTAACACTGCATGTCACGTTCACCCACGCACACAGTCGCACACTAGTGGCTGAGGATACTGTGCTGAACATGGCACCACCTGCTACTCACTAACCATTCACACACACTCACACACTGAAGGAGCAGCCATCAGCAGGTTGGGGTTCAGTATCTTGCCCAAGGATACCTGACATGGAGGAGCTGAGAATCGGACGACCCGCTCTACCAAAAAGAAGTTTGGTCTTTATGTGAGAATAAAAATGTTGTTTTACATTCTTCAAAATTCATTTTCACAATTCACAACAAAGCAAGCTCTACTCTGTGTGTGTAATATAGCTCTTCTTAATATTTATTCTTTAGACTCAGGGGAAACAGCTGATTTTTTACAGCACAATTTGCATAATATCTCAACACATCCTGTGTACAACCACAAAACCATAACATGTTAGATTCTTTGTTTTTGCACTGAGTGAAAAACAAGACAATTTTACAAGCATATTTCTTTACAGTCAGCATACAGATAAATCTATACATATTCTGTCTCTTTTTAAACATAATCTGTAGGCAAAATATACAGACAAACCATCAACAAAACATGCAACATCCAAAACATAAAGTCTCAGACAACTATTGAAGTTGAATAGATTTTTTTACCCTTTGTGTTGTTTCAGCCGTTTACGGGACGTGGTTGCACAGATAGTCATTGGTTGACAGCACGTTTTGATTACACAGTCAACTCCCCTTATACAACTATAGACACGCATTGCTGTACAGTTATAAGTCTTTTGTGTTTTTTTTTTCTTTTCTCAACACTCACATGCTCAAACTTCGGACAATATAAACATTCAATCTTTGTAGAAAATAAACACTTTATGTACACATGTCAAAGGACTTGAGTCACATTCACACCCCTCAGAACAACAACACATGGATGGTTTCACAATTACAGGCAACAGCTGATCTGAACAAACAGTAATTAGCTTGGGGGAAGTCTAATGAAACACGAGGGGTTAAACAGTCATGACGGAGCATTTAGGGAATATGTCTTATTTACTGTACTTTGTACACAGACTGGTAAGTAGACTATGAGCGTGATGTAGTGAGGGTGATTTCTCCCCGGATTGTGCATCGTGTTCAGGAACCCCAACGTGTCTGCGTGTTTTTCTTTTTTGCCACATAGATACAAAATGCACACCACGATATTTTCTGCCACCACGTACACCATGTTTCAGTTCATTTCAGTGCAGAAACACAAAACACATAACCTTGCATGTCATGACAGTTAAAACTGAGACGAGAAAATAAACAATGTCATAATAAAGTGCACAAGCTCCATGTAGACGTTAACGGCTGTTAACATCAATTCATATTAAAATCAGTAAAAAATCAATATATTTAATATTTTCTTTCAATGATGTACAAATTAAAGATATTTTCCTATAAGACAATTTTTTTATGTTCACAGATATAACATTTAGTTCAAAAAAACAAATGCATTCAAACACATCTATGTTGCATAGAATTAAGAACCAATGGGTCTGGAATAAAAAAAAAAGGTTGGCACAGCAAAATAATAATCTGAGAAATCAACCATATTCCCTTCCTTATTATATTCTCTTTTTTTACCATTTGCTATAAGATTTAAGTGACATCTTGCTCTAAGTGTGTCTGTCGTTTCCTCTGGTATATTTAATTCTTTAAAAAATTGCATCAGCCCTGTGATATGCCTAAATACACCGACAGTAGGTCTGAGGGTCACTTGATAGATTTTTTTTTTTTTAAATTCTGTAGATATGGTGGCAAAACATTACAAGATAAATGCATGGGTCACCTGCTCCACGTTCGTACTGAGACTTGGCCCCATCGGACTTGTGTATGACTGAACCCCAGCAGGCCTGAGTGAGTGTTTTGGTCACAGGCAGTGAAAGAGGCTGGTTCACTGTGTTGCAACGGGAGTCACTGACACAAAACAGCATAGTGAGTTTTACAGCACAGCCGGACACACAGAGGAACCTTGACATATGACTGGTAAGAATTTTTTTTGTTGTTTTGTCATTTTGAAGTTGTTTTCAGGTAAAACTCAGACTGGGAGGTGGTGGTGGGGGGGGGGGGGGGGCTTTTTAACTAATACACAGAGAGCAGAGCTGTCACACTGAGGTGGTGACAGTTGCAGATCTACGTATGGTTTTGACACAGTGTAATTACATGATGAGTTACACGGAAAGAAATATTAGCGTACTATGAGCAACTACGACAGCCTTAAATTAAAACGTCGTACAGATGACACAGATGTGATCTTGTCATCCTCTATAGTTGGCTTGTAACTTTCAACTTGGTATTATTGTAACTCTGCCTGGCAAGAAAGCATGCCAGTGAAATAGCAATGCCACTGCATGTTGACTTTGACCTTTAAAATCTATCACAGCCCTGTTGAATGGTGCATCAGTGTGATCAGAGGACCGGCGGAGCTATTATTCATAAACATCCTTGAGCTCACATAGGTCCACATTCACGTTACAGCTAGTTAGACTGCCTACACCATAGACTAAAGTAGCCTACTGGATTGTCAGTGCGTCACCCACAGCCTCAACCTAACAGATCATATGTCTATAGTTTATTATATATACTCTAATGACAAGAGAACAGCTCTTTTACTGTATATTGTATTTAGATATATTCTGCATCTGATATCTTTGTATATTATATAAACATCACGCTGTACAATGTGGTTCTCTGATATGCTCTGTAATCTGCATGTGATATCTACAGTCTGTAGTGCTGTACATTTTTATCTTCAACCCATAGCAAAACTGTCTGGCTCTTTTTTTTTCTTTTTACATGAAACTGAATCATAGAAAACATTTAGCATTCCTTCATTGTTAAACATTTCAAGACCACTGATGTCCACACACATTACAACCATCATTTCAGCATCACAACAATGACTCTCGTATGAAGAAAACACTAATTCAGCTGATGTCATTTTTTTTTCATCTTCCCCCCTCTCATAGATATGTTAGCTCAGTTGCGCAGCACCAAAACAAGAAAGTCTCATGTGGATGATGGAATCGGGGACTATGGTAAGAAAGACGTCGCTGCTCTCAAAGCCATATTGCTGCTGAGTGTGTTTCAGTGCCTGCTGTGGTATTTGCATGTTTGCATCCTTACAAGCAAAGTCCACAGCCAGCACAGACTCGATGTGGGAAGAGGTGGACATGTGTGCTGGCAGTGTTGGACTGATAAAGTTGTCATGGTATTAGCACGTAATTCCCTCCTTCTTATAACGTATGAACTGAGGAAGTGAATTAAATGGATCTTTTTCATTCCTCTATTTGATTTTTTTTTTTTGGTCTCGTATTCGTCTTTTTGTCAAATCAGATCTCCAAACTACTACATTCTGGCTTCACCTGTCGTCAGTCTAACGCATCTCCGTCTTGTTTGATGTGGCGCTCAGGGGTTGGTCTGAGTGGAGCTGACGAATAACTTGTGCCAGCTGACCACTCTCTTCCTCATGTCCACCTTGTCCAGCCAGATGTAGGCTTCACCGATCAGAGTCTTCTTCATAAACTTGCCTCCATTGGACACCAGGAAAAGCTGGAAACACATTACAGAGAGAAACAGATTTGTCATGGCTGTTGTTGTTCTGTCTTGGAAAGTGCACGAGTAAAAGCATGTTATTCGGCATGAATAATGCAAACACCATTTGGCAAAGTGCTTACAAGACGACAAACCTGATCTGGCGATCAATACTTACTTATGCAAGTGTAACCTTTAAATCAGGATGCAAAATGGACATAATGGGATTATACTTTTCTTTTTAAAGATTATTTTTCGGGTGTTTTTTGCCTTTAATGACAGTATAGCTGGAAACAGACAGGAAAGGTTAGAGAGGGGGGGGTGACATGCAGACAAGGGCTGCAAGTTGGTGTTAAACCCAGGCCACTTGGAATGCACTCTCTACCAGGTGAGCAAGCGGTCATCCCCCATATCTGTTGTGTAGGACTAGATGTTGATATCCCTTATTCCACACTTGAGACACTGCTAGACTCTGTGGGATGGTCAAGTGAGAGATGGCATCCTCTAGGTTATCAAGTGGGCACCCTACTTCCTTGGTGTTTCACTGATTGGCCCACGACACCTCCAGAGGGTTTAGCAGTGAATCCCAGCGTCCCAGGTTCACCCCCTTAGATGCCTAGATGCCTTGGGTGAGGCTGGTCTTGCAGCCCACCAAGATGTGCTTAAGTGTTGCTGGACTTGGACAGAATGGGCATGTGGGGTCTTCACCATACCACTGGCTGAGGTTTTTGGGAGATGGAAGGACATGGTAGGCAGCCCTGATGTTAAAGCTTGCCCTGAATGCCTCCATCTCCCACAGCTCTTGCCAGGAGATCTTCCTCTTCTCCACTCCTTCCCACGTCATCCACTGCCCTTGCTTTGCCTGTGCCACGGCCTTTGCGCACCTTCCTGCTTCCTCTTCCCGACGCACCTCCTGAACCACGAGCTTGCATCTCGGGGACGGAGTGGCCTTGTTCCAGGGTGGTGTGCTGTCCCCAAGACCAAGACCACTCCTCCCATGCTGCACTCGGCCAGCGATGTCTTTGTGTTTTAGTGTTGCCTTTGCCTGCTCAGTTGCAGCCAGTGGAGTCCACTTCCTCCTCCATATTGGTATTGTAAGATCCTGTTATGCCTGGTTTACACTACACAAGATTTTTGTCTGTTCCGACGGTCACTATGTCAGATTACACGATTGTGGAGTCATAAAATCGTGCCGTGACTTGGCCGGCAGACATGACAGACTACACGATGGTCCACACCAATCGTCCCCGGTCGTCTTTCAAAATGTATGTGATGTCATCGGGTTGTTCTTGTCCTACTTTTATTATTATTATGAGTATTTCAGTCACACTGGCTGTTCATGTCCCAGCTGAAATATTACCGTAGTAATGCAAAAAATGGCCACCAGATGGCAGGAGCTACATTTGAAGTACCACATGCAAATTTGCAACTCACTAAATCCTCCAAAAGTTCCTGAAAATGTCTCACAACAATATTACTTTATATCCTCCAGTCTGATGCTAATAGCAGTACTCAGTGGGTTGCTAAAGTGCCTCTGCTGTTTCAACCCATCGTTTTTCCCTTTTTACTCAATTGTGGTAACTTCCCTAAAGACATATCCAAAAGGCTTTGGTGTTGTTGTCATACAGTTCTACGGCAGCAGATTGCACTGTCTTTGTATGGGTCAAAGTGACGGCTGTGACGGGAGCAGTTGTGAACAACAAAAAGAAAATTAAACATGCTAGACTTTCTGTAGGAAAGTTGTGAGGTGTCCCAGTTGTGGCGTTGGATAAAGTACTTCTGATTCTGATTGTCGTCTACTATGACACACTACACGAGATGAAACCTTGGATTATCTCGTTCGACACTCGTTGTCATTCACGATCCATGCCAACACTGTACGTTGCTACGTCAGGCTATAATCGGGCTGATATTGTGTGGTGTGAACCAGGCATTATTTTCATCTTATCTGATGAACAGGAGGTTCTGTGTCTCTGTCAACACACACTTCTCATCAGTTTTCACCTCTTAAGTATGGTGTGCCTCAAGGGTCGGTCCTGGGACCAATTTTATTCTCTATATAAATGCTTCCCCTTGGGCACATTATTCAGAGACATGGTGTCTCTTTTCATTTTTATGCTGATGATACACAGATGTACCTGATCCACAGACCCTGGAATGATGTGTTCACTCAGTGAGTGCCTTACTGATGTTAAAAGCTGGATGTCAAAAATTTTTTCTTCAGCTGAACTCAGACTAAACAGACATTGTTGTCATCGGGCCCCAGCATGTTACTCAGCAAATTCTGCCTTTGGCTGGTCCCCTACTGGATAATATCAATCCTGGTGCAACAAATCTTGGAGTCTGGTTTGACAGTAATTTAAGTTTTGAGCCAATGTTTTTACCATCTCAGAAATATTTAAAAAATGCGATCCATTTTAACTCACTTAAGACACTGAGACAATTTTACATGCCTTCATCTCTTCACGCCTGGAATACTGCAACAGCCTCTTTTCTTGAATCAAAAATCTATTAATCGACTCCAGACTATTATTATTGTAACGTGAGGGTTCATTGTGTAGTGGTTGGATCACATGCCCCTTAGTTAACCAGTGAGAAGCTAGAAGGACTTAGACTGAGGTAAATGTGTGTGAGAATTACTGTGGCAGATTCAGCAAATAAAGTCAATAATAATTGTGAACATAAATGCGTAAAAAGTTAACTGTACAAACACTGTAAATGTAATTTTTTTAGCAAATTACTGTAACACATGAATTAACATAACTTGTAAACCTTACAGTATTATCCTTAAATTCAGAGCGAAAGAAGACTATAAATGAATGCGTTTATAATTTCCATCCATTTCCATTCATCTTCCTTAAGGGCATGCACGCCCCCCTAAATCTACTCCTATGATTTTCCTTTATTTTCTCAGAGTCAGTGAGCATGAGATCTGTCAGTTTTTATTAAACTGCAACAGTCTGTGCAGAATTTACCTTTTATAGTTTACCAGCTACTTTTAGATGCTCATATCCTGCAGCCCACCAGGAGGAGGTTCATTCTGCATGAGGCAGCAGACCACTTTATAAAACTTCCCATAATGAGGTTTAAGACTTGTATTGTCAGACGTTACAAGCCTCCCGTTTTAATTAGCTGCAATAAAGAGTTTTGGAGATGCTGCATGCAAACTGAACTGGAACAATTGGATGAGTACACCACAAATTACTGCAAATCTATACATGGAATTCATTTTCTATGATTATTCAGCCAACCAGGCATGGACAAATGTATTACACCTGATATAACTGGAGCAGTACTGTGTGACACATCATGCTTGAAAGGTAGAGAGAGCCTGATCCGTATCTGTCAGTCTGCAGTGTCTCATTATGTGGCATGTTGTACCTGTATGGAGTGTCCTGTTGGGTTCAGAGGGAATCTGAAGGTCTCGTTGAAAGAGGGCTCTCTGTCGTGTCGGCAAACTCTGGTCTTCTTCTTGATGATCCTCTTCTGAGTGGCTACATTGACCACATACAGCTTCACATACAGGTCTGAAGGCAAATAGGATAAAACATGAATATGTATTAGTCCCCTGCCAAAAAATTGTGAGCATTTAACATTTAATTTCCTGTGTGCTGGGGAATTTTTTTGCACCAATTTGTGCCTTTTCTGTATCAATTTATGGTGTAAATGTGCTTAATTTTGTCAAAATAAAAGTCATCTGCTTGTGCACAAATACACACTACTTCCTGACCTGGTAGGTGGTCGGGGCTTTTGAACTTGTAAGTGATGTTTCTGCATTGAAGGATCTCCAAGACCAGTTGATCCCCTTCTGTCTTCACCTCCTTCTTGAGAGCAACCTTGATCTCTCCCATCACTTGTGTTTTGCCGCCTGAAAATAAGAATGAAAAAGAGATATGGGTTATCAGTTTTCAGAATAAAATCGAGATAACTATATGTCTTTATTTGAATAGCCCTGGCTGAACCTTAGACTAAGAAACTGCAGGCAGATTCCTACAGCTGCATAGAAAATTGTGCTCCCGTAGTGTCACTAAGGATTATTTAAATTATTTAATAATTCTGCATCACTAAACCTGGGCTCACAGCAGAATGAAAGCGGGTCAGGGAACATCCTCGCAGTATCACATGGGTCTTATCACTGTCATGTGTCTCCACTGATACCTGAGGGTTTCACCAAGACGGAGTTAACTGTGTTAAATGAATCATCAGGCGCCATGGAAATGACCGCCTGACCCTCATCTGTGTAACAGCTGCCAGGCTACAGCCTAAGATGACCTTGGGCTCTTTGTTACAAATTGAAACGAGAGATGGAAGGGAGGCACCATGACACCCGAGCTACATGAAACATAGATATAGTTATGACAGTGGGTAGGATAGTGTGACATCCATTTCTCTACAGCCATCCCAAGCCATGCATTAAGTCATAGGCTGGGTAAATATTGTTTCATGACAATGAGCACTTAACTGAGCTTTTGATTCCGCAATTAAATGGAGTCATCATTAAAAGACAATTTAGAGGCAGCTAAAAGTGTCTGGGTAAATAAATAAATAAATAAAATAAAGTGTTGTTATACAAAATAACCAGCAGGTGGAGACCTATATCCAAAAAACAACCAAACAGAGGCCATTTCTGGAACTTGCCTTCATTTTCTGGGGTCCCTAGTTGGTTTTTGTCGGTGCCGTTAGGAATAGTCTTACCACTGTGGGGAGAAAAAAATCATCAGACATATTATGACAGTGCAAAACTTGGCATTAGTGTCAGCTGTGAGCATTATGGTGCTGAATGTGCTGAAAACACTGAGTCACAAATGGTCTTACATGCGTGGCACTTGAAAAATGGCACTGTCCACTCCAGTGTCCGCCCCCTCTTCACCTTCCAGACCTCCATAGGCGTCTCCAACAAGACTCGGGGCAGACAACACCACTGACCCTGAGACATCTGCCAGTCGGTGTCCTGGTCCTGAGGGTGGAAAGTGCAAGCACGATGGTGAGGAACTGATCTACCTCTCTATCTATTTATGGTTTTCTTAACAGGAAGTCATTTGTACACACAGCGTCTTCACTGACTCAGATTTTACCACACATGCATGTCCAACAGAAACACTTCACGCCCCCAGCTATAGCTCACTGACAGGGATGCTGTCTGTCACATACAACTTTAAGTGAGCATCACAGAACAGCTTATGCAGGGAGGGACACATCAGCAGAGACGACAGCTTGTCCTTGTATTTAGCAGTGCAGCGTGAATTACCTCGCTTCACTCATCGAGATCACAGCACTAGAAATAAATGAAGGTTGCCAAGTTTAATTCACACATGAAAATGAATTTTGCGTGAGAAAATGTGGATGTTCTTTCATAGTTTTAATCATTTGCTCGTGGCTGCTGGCTGCTGCTGAGTTACATGCTCATACAGTACGACAGACTGTGATTAGTTCGGGGAATATATGAAGTGTTTCTGTCTAGACGACGGGTGGATACATCCTTGGCCTTTGTGATCTCTTTGCTTTAAAGCGATGACTAATAGAAGTTAGATTATGTTTGAAACACAATCTGTGGTACAAAGGCAATAGCTGGAAGTCACTTTCTCAATGAAAAAGCATATTAGCAAAATTACAACAGCAAAAAAAGACACGCGCATGCACACTCACACAATCACAAACATAGATACATGAAAATCATTAAATGAGACTTATTTTGTTACTTTAATTATTCACACATTTGGTTATATGGATTTATTTTGTTTATTTTCTTTAGGTTTAGTGTTGTTATAGTTAAGGTTATGTTAGGCTTAATAATATTTAGCAGTACATTTTTCCTATGTTGTCTCACCTTCCCTTGACACTCATGGTTCCTCTCATGGTTAGCTGACCGCTTTACTCTCATTGGCCGGTGAGTGAGCCTCCTGATGCCTTTTGAACCTCTTGGTGTGTCTGTGTTTCCTGGTTTGACTGCTTCAGTCTCACATTTGTGTCCACTTAGTTTTAGGGGCGGCAGGTTTGGGGAGAGGAACGGGAAGGGAGGGGAGCCTTGTGGGCCATACCTGTGTGTGTGTGTGTGTGTGTGTGTGTTTTGTGACTAAGGGTTCATTCATATGGTACACACATGCACACACACAGAGAGGCTGCAGCATCACAAAGTCCTCAGTGGCTGGGGAACAGTAGCCAGGGAAGCTGCAACTGCATGCGTAAATCGTTCTGACACTGGGCTAACTTATCTCAGAGAGGGGTGACAACATACGGTAGTTCATCATTTTAAGGACATCACACTTAAGACTATGCATGAACATGAATGGATATTGTTGTTCATTAAGTTGTGTTAATATGGTACAAGACATGTGAGGGATTGCAATCCCAGTTTGGTTTCTATGCTGGGGTTGGAGATCTCCACACTGGGGTTCTGTAGAAACCATATACTTGGGATTGGCACATGCACAATTCACGTAGAAACAGGGGGATCTGGGCTCTTATTTTAAAGCTAATAAATATTTTTCTTTGTTTTTTTTTTTTTTTAGAAGTTGTTAAAACTCTTCTACTGTTTTAATAACTCATAGTAAAATATCAACTTTATGTCCTACTTAAGAGACCAAAATATGCAGCAAAATATTAAAAAGGTGGGAAATGTCAAATACTGTATTTGGAATATTTAGTGCACTAACTGTGCCAGATTTATAAATATTTAATTTCAGATTTAAAGGTTTAATAAAATAAGATTTTTACAGCAAGTTTAGGTTTCGCTATATCTCAGTTATTTGTCTTTTTTATCTGCCTCGGATTTTGTTTGGTGACTATAATTTTATCTAACTCAAAAGAGTCAGAAATGAATTAAGATTATTGATCAAAGCAAATCACTTTGTGCTCAGAGAAAATAGATAAGAAGAACAGAAGGTAAAGGTCAAATGTTAAGGAGGTGAACGCACAGCGGTTCAGGTTCTAATCAAACGTTCTCGACAAAGCTTGCATGCGCAGGAAAAAAGGAAGCATGTCACAGGAAGTGTATCACGGGTAGGGAAGGGAATTACTTGGTTGCAGGCGGGACTGTTGCACGGCGGCCTCGGCGGCAGCGATGGCTATCCCAGCATCCTCAAGGTGGGCCTGAGTGACGCTGCTCTTGCTTTGGCTGCGGGAGGGGCCGTGGGAGCGCAGTTGGCCATCGGAGGAAGACTTGGAGCTGCCCGGGCTGCTGTGTGACTTTTCCAAAGGTAGCATCTGCATGTCTGGAGGAAGGTGAGACAAAGTGTTGTGACTGCTAACGGGACGTGAGACATGAGATGAATAGATGGATCCATGCTGTTAACAGTATTTAATATTTCCCGCTCTGCTGTGTGTGTCATGTAGCAGTTGTCAAGCACATGTATAATTACAGCTGTCAAGAAATTATTAGCATTTTTGTTTCTATGGTAACAGCCTCTATCTCTATGACAACTGAGGGAGCACTTTATGAATTATAGCTTTTGTCGTAAACGGACACCTGCCAAGGATTCTTTTACCTTTGGATGGATCAGGGAAGATTCCATGGCTTCTGCTCTTGATTACAGAGTTTTTAGGTGAGTCATGACCCCCGTCTGGTCCTTGACCCTGTCCCATACCATGCCCAGGCCCCATCCCAGGCCCTGACATATGGCCAAGGCTGTGTCCGTGACCATGACCCTGACCTGGCCCAGACCCTGGCGGTCCTTGAGCAGCATGGTGGGCTTTGCTGTGCTCAATGCTCTCGCTCTGCTCCTTCAGAGGCAGCCAGCGAGGAGTGTTGTCCAGCTGGGCTGTGTTCGACAAGTCAATCAACACCTGAGACACAATTAACACACACATACACACAGTGACAGTTTGAGAAAGACAATCTTAAACAGGACAATCTTAAACATATAGGCACAACAGGGAGAAAAACTGATACAATAAGGAGAGGAATTTGCATGAGGGTAGATAACAACGTAGTGTGTGGAAACAGTCTATTTGCAAAAGCATTGAAATGCACACTGCATTTAGCACGAGATGAATAGCACCGCTCACTATATAGATTTACAAGCATGAAGCAAAGCTTGACTTCGGAGCTTGTGAGAGGAGGGAGATAAGGCTAATAATATTAGGTTGTTTAAGAAAAGCCGGTCCATCACAAAAAATAAATAAATAAATAAATAAAGCAACAGAAACCTTTTGTGCGAGGTAAACACTAAATGCATTTGACATTTTCAGACATTTTTATTCAGATTCCAAAAGCACTCACTTCTCCAAGGAAGTCATTGGAAGAGGATCTGTCATAGTCCCACACTGTCACCTCCAGCGTCTTCTTCTTTAACTGGATAGAAAGAGTGAAGGAGAGGAGACAAGGGTAAAGATTATGACGAGGGATCTTGTGTGCATATGTATGTGTGCGGGAGAGGAATGTGTCTGAGCGCCTGTGTTTGTGTGCATGTGGGTGGTGGGAGCGTGAAAGAAAACAGGAACACTGTATGTGCTGTGCATGAATGAATGCACTGCGTTTACTGTAATAAGCAAAGAAGCGGGGAGTTAGATTAGATTTGGTTTGTTTCAGTATACGTACATGCATGTGTGCATAGACTTGTGCATGTGCATGTGTAGAAAGGAACATGTGGGAGGAGATGGAAACATATCTCAGAGGAGGAGGAGGAGGAGTGGGCGAACGAGAGATGCAGCAGCATTTTTAGGGCCGACAGGCTCCGGCCAGCAATGAGACGTGATTAACAGAAGGCAGCCCCGGAGGAGCCGGTGGAGGCCTCTATTCTCTGACCACTAAAGCTACCGCATCTGCACTCATCCCTCACTGTTGTTGTTGTTATTACAGTCTGGGTGGTGTCTGTGTCGCAAACAACACATGCTCCTAGCAAACACAGATATCCAAGAATAAACAGCCATACACACAGCGACACTTGCACGGTGACAGACAAGCACACAAGCGCACAGTTACCAAGTTTCTATTCTCTTTTTGTTAAAATGACACGCGGCTAGGCTGCCTGTGTCGAGGCTACGTGAGAGCAGAAATGATGGTTGTTAACTTGAGTCTTGGGAGTGCTGATAAGAGGTTGCACAGGGATACGGAGGACAGCCCTGGGGACAAGGTATGAGGACAGAATCCTAATAAGAGTATAAGACATCCACTTCACCTAAAGTGGCCCACAGCACATACAGTAACTGCACTGAGTGAAGGCTTTGTGTGTGTGTGTGTGTGTGTGTGTAGGTGTAAGTGTGTGTGCGTGTTATTGTCATTCTGCACAGTACCTGCTCCAAATGAATGTTCTTGTAGATGACAGTCTGGTTCCATTCTGGGTTCATGGTCTTCTGAGCATACTTGGTCCTTCTCTTGTTATCAGCACTGATAAGTCATGATATTCAGAATGATAGGTTGTCAGTTAATAATTAAAAAAAGTTTTTCCCCTGCCTGAACCCATGGCAAACATTCACCAAACTGTGATATACTCAGTAAATGTGGATTCAATAGACGCTTGTAAAACAGTCAATCTCCTGCCGTGGAGACATGAGAAACAAACCCAGATATAAATGCTCTTTAAATTACCTAAGATGCTTTTACAAAAAATCACAGAGTACTTCAGAGATAGGAGCTGAGGAGAGTTAAAAGTGAGAGGCATGGAGAGAAAAAAGCAATGACAGGAGTGCTCTTAAACACCATGAAATAGAGCAGATAATTGGACGAACAACAGAGGCCACAACAAAAGGATGGTGAACCACTTTGGAGACGTAATTTACAGAAAGAGAGGACATAACACCAAACGAAAAAGCAAAGATCAGCACCACACTACCTTGCATTCTGGACAACCATGACTTGGCTGAGGCAGTCCAGAAGAGGAAGAGGAGGGCAGATATCACAAACAAGAAAAGCAAAAACACAAAAAACAGTCAGAGAAGCCCAGAGAGCTCAAAGAAAAGGCAGTAAAGGATAGAGAGCTGAGGCAATCAATATTCACTGCAGGGTGTATCGCTGTTTTTGTGCCCGAGCCATGTTTGTGACGCGAGACAAAAAAAAACTCACAATGATTACATCTGGCTCATGGGTGACTGACTAATTCACTGTTCTGAACTGTTGTTGTTGTACCACGGTTGTGCACTCTGCCGCTAATGTCTGACAAATACATTTGAAAATACTCTTCAAATGAAACAGCAGGGGAACAAAAGTGCTCTCCTACAGAGCTTTCAGTTGTAACCTATACAGCGTGTAGTAGAGAGGGCTTATAATCTCATAAACAGGTCTGATGGGGTCATTATCTAAGAGCAGATACTGTTACAGAGCAGATAAAGGCTGGATCGATCCTTTCTCCTGCTATCCACAGGCTCTTGGGAAAGACAGTGGATCAGGCAGGAGGAGGAAACCTGGGCATAATACTGAGGGACAATACTAAAATTCTGATTCAGTAAAAAGAAGGCAGAGTAAGAATTCAGCATAGAGTATGTTTGCACACATGTATGCTGCCTACGCTTAGATAATTGAACATATTGTAATCTTGTAGCGTGCCAAATGACCTCACCTCGCAGATTTGTTTCAATTCTAAAACACCCATCCATTGATTCACAAAGACTGAATCAAATTGAATCGAATTGCACTGCGAATGACTGCCTCATATCATCATGTCCAGGCTCATTCTCTCACACAAACTCAAGTAGTTAGTCAGTTCCGTACAGGACATTCAATATAAACGTCAGAAAGAAATAGGGGGAGAGAAAACAAGACAGACACAGAAGCAGAAAGGCAGACACAGACCAGACACTCGTGAGCACTCAAACACACGCGCAGAGCTCACCCTCTCCCCGGCAAGAGGTAGACCTTGACAAAAGGGTCAGAGTAGCCGTCGTTGTCCCTCGGGGCCAGGTTTCTAGCCTGCAGGACGTGGACGATCAGGTTTCCCAAGTTCCTGTCATAGTTGATCTGGAGCTGAAGGGAAAACAGAGGCTGTGTGAGAAAGACCAAACAGCTGAATGACACCAAAAGTGATTTTTATAAGTGCTTTAATACCTGAATTTCTCCAGTGATGGCATGAGGTGTCCTCATTGCCTCCATTGGCTACACAAAAAAGTGGGGAAATGCACACAGTGGTTGTAAAACAATTGTCTCATGATCTGACCCACAAAGAAAAGTTCATGCCAGATTTAAGCCGTTACCCTGGTGTTAGGTTGCAGTAAACGGTGCTCTGACTTCACTCTCGAAATATATATTGTCAGCTTACAGATGAATGGGCTGTCCTTGTAGAAAAGATGCCGAGTAAAGATTTCTCACTGAATCTATAGGCCTCAGGAGGGATTTGACCATCTGAGCTGTGTAATTGACTGGAAAAGTCCTCCAGTGAAGTTTGGGAAGGTTAATCAATTATTTGAGGTACTTAGACATTTATGAAAAAATCTGTTTCAGTGCAGACGATTTTTAAATATATTTCTACTCTTTGTTTTATATTCTATTCCTAATAATGCCTTTATATATTTAAACATCTGCTTATAATGAAGCACTTATGCTTATATTGCCCATTTCATGTGTAAAGGCCACCCGCAGCCAGGGTCATGCACTGTACCACACTATTTCTTGTTCCGCTATAATTGGCCTGTCACAGTGATGAACACAGTCACACTCTTTGACCTTCACATGCAAGCTCCCCTTTGTAGTGTTATGTACATATGATGTAATACTAATGGAGGTGCATGATGGATCACACAGGGGACCCAGAGTCTGCGGCTTAAAACAGATTCACACACTATTATTAATTCAAACTAGATTTATATTTTGCAGAATGTTTCAGGCGCTGATATATTGTTCACTGTCTATATTCTGCCTCGTCATCACATTGTGAGCTGAACTCTTCACAACTGAAGAGCGTGTCTGAGACGAGGCAGCAGGAAGCATGCTAACAAGTCAAATCCACAACCTTGTGTCGTTGTTTCTTGTTTATGGCTGGGGATGCGGGCTGGCCGGGGCTTGGCACGCCACTGGAGGCAGCCGATCCAGGACCTGAGTGGAGGAGGGCTGAGCGCTCAAGTGCAGAGAGGACCCCCAAACCCCCGGGCCCGAGCCCTGTTCCAGCCATACCAGGAGCCAGCTGCTGGGACACTTTCTGCAGCTCGGCAGCCAACTGCTTAGGATCCACACCAGGGGAACGCTGCCCACCTACTGAGACAAATGCGTATAGTAATTCACTTTGTATTTATGTGAAATAGGTACACAGATACATGCATGCATGCAGACATATCAACAAATCCTTGTACATACCAGCCTTAAGCTGGACATGGTGCTCCAGGGCTTGTGGGTGCTCAGGGTCAGACAGCATATTAAGGTCGCTGTTTGGATCCATACAGGAAATTTATAATGGAATATCAACCAGTGTATCTTAGCAGTAATCAGTCATAGAGTGAGTATTTGTCAGATGAAGGGGCGTGGGATGAAGAGGAGGGAAAGGAGGGAGGAGAGAAGGTGTACATGGGTGCAGAGCTGCCATATTGCGACTAAACATGTCGGAGTCTTAGTGGGATAGATGGGTAAATGATGACAGATGTAACTCACAGTCTCACACAGAGCTCCGCCTCTGCACATGGCTGGCCCATGATGCACTGCACTTCTTCATAAGTCTTTCCCGTCAGAGGGACTCCATTCCACTCCAACACCTGCATTCCTGTGGTGTGATAAAGGCAAGCAGGCGGAGTCAGAGGCAAAAGGGTGCTATCAATTCCCACACAAGATGTTATAGCCTGTCGGCAAATGCACTGCACCCCCACTCCGTATATGAAACATGATTCAGTGTGGGTAGTGCAGCCTGCATGCTCACACAGCAGAAATAATGCTTTTATTTGTAGTATACCCAGTGGAAAAGTTTAATAATTTCATTTTCAATTTGTGTTTTTGTGTTGACTTTGACATTGCATCACTATAGCATTACACACACACAGCACAGCGAGAGGAAACTGAAGTTTTGCACACAATCTCATTTGTTTAAACTCAAGAGAATGGCATGTCAGATGCAAGAGCAGTGGGAAGTCAGTGCACAGCAAACTCAAACTTCCAACTCAATGCCAGAGCTGCAGAAGGCCTCACTTACACAACTGAAATCTGGTCCTCAGATTAGACTTCTGCTTACGAGGCAACTGACCAGCTGCTGTGACAATAAAGACTTGAATTAATATTCCCATATCCTTCTGCATGAGCCAGTGCTCATTTCGATTATTCCCTCTGCTCCCTCTATATATAATCCACCGTATCCTCCCCCACCTTATTTCTCTTTGCACCTGAAGGCATGTTGCGCTGCCATTCTCTTTCAGTGGAACACAAACATCACATTTGCATAGTTACAATTCAGCATATGCTACAAAGTAAACATTGCCATTCTGACCACTATTCCTATTTCGTTATTACAACAAATAATGCCATAAAAATGGGAGCCCAGTCTAACCTTTTCAATCTCATTATTTCCAAAGCAAAACAATGAATGAAAGCATTAGACCAAGCAGAAATACACTAGCTGATCCGTCCTTCACCCTCTCTCTTGTGTAATAGCAAAGTCGTGGCAGTCCCCATGGTAGAGCTCTCTTCAAAAGGAGAAACTAGAACCAATTTTGTCCTAAAATATCTTCAAACGTCAGAAATGACCATTAATATCCAGGCTCCTCTCTGTCCAAACAATAAACATTAAGATCAACCATTTGAAAAATCCTAATGACTTAATGTACAAATTGAGTAGGGATTTCGGAAGGTTCATAAAGCTAATTATTGTGTGTGTGTGTGTGTGTGTGTGTGTGTGTGTGTGTGTGTGTGTGTTTGTGTATGCCTGGGTGTCTATAATGATGCTAAATATAGCCTAATGACTAACACAGCCCAGTGCTGTGGAGGGTGAGTTGACAGGCTCTTTCTGTGTTTGGATGTGATGTGTCGGGGAATGAGACATGACAGACCACAACACAGAAGGCTACAGCAGTGTCTCACATCTCCATCTGGAATTCACTGATTCAGGCAGGGATTTTTTTTTTTGGCTGAGGGCTTATAGACTGCCCTAAAAATAATAACACTTGGAAGATTTGCATTTACACTGTATCTCTCGGGCCCCAGAAATGATGTTTTTTTTTTTACCATGTATAAAGTCAAATGAATGCACAGGAAATACCTTAATTTCAGCAGCACATCTTCTCTTGTGGGATGGAAATATGTATATGAGTTTTTCTTACTATTCAAAACTTAACAAAACTTACTGCCACCTCCTTACTCAATCTCCTCTTACCTTCTACAACTTTTCCTGTTTGCTCTGCCACACCACCAGGAATAACCTTGGCAATGTATGCTCCAATCTCTCCTCGGCTCCCCGGAATCTCCTTCCCACCTACCACGCGGATCCCTAGTCCGTTACCTGAGGGAAAAATAAACATGCAAATTCTAGTGAGCAAAGAGAGATAGAAAATGATTGTATGCACAATGCTTTGTTCTGTGTTCGCCTTGTACCTGACACACTGGTATCCTTGGGGTCTCTCTTAAGCTTGATGCGAGTGTGAGGGAAAGCATAAGGGACCAGTTTCATCTGAAAGTAATTTTTGAGAAATTACAGCATGAAAAATAGGCCTCCTCGCAGAAAACATGCCAGGTTTACAGACTGAAATTTAACCAAGGAAACAGCACAATGTGAAGCTGAATGTTGGACCTCACCTGTCTCCTGTCTGACATGCTTCCGCTCTGCGGATGCCCTTCTCTTGGCTTATCAAACCAATCTGTGTCCTCTCTCCTCAGGTGGTAGGCTAGGCAGGGAGAGATATTGGTCAACAGCCATGTACACACAAACACAAACCCACTGTATCCCCAATAGCTCTAAAAAATATCTGCTATAAACATGGTTACGACTACTTTGGGCTACTATCAAGCTTTGGAAACAGTTTCTAGCCTGCATCACAAAGTTTGAAACACATCCATCCCCATTTGTACAAATGCAGGAAGATCTCTGATCTGTCCTGACCGGATAGGTGAAAGCAAAGAAGTATAAACTCTGGTCCATCCTATCCATGCCAACTGTGAGTTCAGATGATTACTGCAAGCACTGAATGAAGGATGAATACATTTCAAGAGCATTATACATTTTGCATGCATTTGATACCATGCAGTGCTCCCCGTCTCAGTGTGAGGGCACATTCTTGTCCACATTTTCATAGCTGCTGTATATGAAACATTGTTGTTGAAAGAAGCCCTTGGAAATGATGTATTGTATTTAATAATTTCAGACAAAACACTGTGGATTGGAGTTGTCCCATTGTGTGTTTTAATTCTAATAATAATAATGATAATAACATATCTTGTTTATAGAAATTATCTCAAGAGCATTGTTGTTTGCATGAAGGGGGAGAAGTATCTACGCAGTCTGTGAGTCACAACCTCCAGCTGTAGCTTATATATAGGATCAATAACCATATACCTGTGAAGTGGTACTGTACAATGCTAATGTATGTATGATGTATTTTAAATTCTGTGTGCTGTGAAACCAGCCAGAGATCATCACACAGGCATGATATGTAACATCTGAAAGACTTCAGATGCCTCATGTTACATTTAGCATCATTACTGCAGAGCTCACAATTCATCTAAAGCCATGGTAACGAGACAGATTGGTGGAGAAAGTTCTACATAAGAAATGTGAGTCATCATTTTGGTGCTCGATGCTATACATTGTCACTAAGGATAGAATGTGCACACATCTGCCAAATGTCTCTTTGTATTATCAGTGATCTAATTCCACCAAGGAGATGCACCAATAATGATGAAGAGTATGGCCTGATGACTGTATTTGCTGAAGGTAAATGTTGCCTGTTAGCTAAATCTCTTGGATTAGACAGCACTAATCAGTTCTTATCGCTACAGGAGTTTTCTGATCTACAATGAGAACACAGCGGCAACATCGACCTTCAGAATTCTATAAAGCGACTGGATAAAATGCACTGCCATAGCAATTCGGATTTTGTTGGCAACACTTATGCATGATCACACAATATACACGTGATTTTATTTGCAGAAGTGCATGAACATGAATACTGGAAATGGGTCTGATATGCTTACGGAAGCACCGTGATGTTCAATCATTCCAGAATGATGTATAGCTTAAGTTACTTTGGGTAAAACATTATCTAGTGCCATTACGATGGGGTTCATTGCAGAATGGATCTGACATGTCAGCTACTACAGATCTGCTACATGACATGTATTGTATACTACTGAGATGTGGGTCATTCCAGAATGAGTCTGGTATGTTTGCAAAATCAACCAGAGAAGTGGATCATTCAGAACCATGATGTGCGGCATGGACGCAAACAGTCTCTATGTATCTACATGGAATTGTGATGCTGTCTCACCTTCTATATTCCAGTTTGGGCCTCCAGCTGGGGTACAAAGTTATATGTTTTTTTCAGAAATGCGTCCAACACATGTTCAGTAATCTTAACAAACTACAGGAACTGTGCTAACACTACTTAGATTTGTATTGTGGGTATACTTCAGCACATGAAATCAGTAGTCAATGTAAGATGCATGCTTGAAATTAGCCTGGCAAAGAGTTTACAAATTTAAGCAGTAGCATTAAGGAAAACATAAAATACATTTTAGGGAAAAAGTCATCTATCAATGAATGTAAGATTGAGCTATAGCAGTACCAGGAAAGTAAGGGTTTTTAACTAATACTGTAAGATACTCTACCGTGTCTGATACTTTCATGAAAGATTCTGGCATCATCTCTGTTCAGAGCCAGCATGGACTCACTTAGTGCTGTAATCAAGGCAGATGGACACTCTTATGTGGGGTCAGGACAAATATCACCTTCTTATCAAGAATTTAATCATACAGACTCTTTGCAAATGGTCCAGAAACAAAGCTAACGTTGCTAAACATATTTATTACTCATAATCTCATAATCAATATGGACATTAAACCCTCTTAACCTTAACTCTAATCAGGCAAGTGTTTTTAAAAGTCATTGGCCTTTTTTTTGCAATGTCTAATTATACTTGTATCTAATAAATGCATAACATACTGTGTCTAATTAAATCTTAAAAATAACTACATATCATACAGGATGATATGTTGACATCTACAGAAGTTGATTGTACCTAACCTAATGGAACACTACCAATCCCACACTTAGGAAAATGGAGATAGCACATGTCAATATTTTGCTGTCAATAGGGGACATGGACATCTCACATTGCAATGAGACATCCACAGCAACAACCGACAAGCAGAAAACATTCACTTTATTAAAATGGAAATGGAAAACATATATTATTGCACAACATGCAAGGATGCAAAATCAGATACAGATAGAAAATTAAAGACATAGAAACACAGACGTACAGTTACATACAAGAAAAATGAGACAGAATACTATTGTGCTTAATGTATTATGTTTTTAACAATACACATAACTGCATGGTAGTCCTTGAGAGAAAGTCATTGCATCGCAGTATAGGTTTACGAGTACAAAAACTCGGATTACTCTTGGTAACTACACAAAGTGAATGCCTCGACTGCACCTGCAGAACACTTGAGTGCATCTAGACACCGTGATTCATCAGTATTCCTTCAACCTCACTGCTGCTAGTTGTTTTCCAAAATAGCAGAAAGGGTGTCTAAGAAAAGTAAATATACTTTTTTTCTGAGGCGATGACCTACTTTTCACAAAGACACTATTTTGCTCTGCAGATTGGTGGGGGAGGGCTGGGAAAAAGACAGAGAGAATCCCTAGGCACTCCTTGTCATACCTTCATGTGAAAGTCCTCTACAACAGGTTTCTGCAGCTTCCAGGTGGTCTGAACAGCATTTCAAACACTCTAAATGCCATTCAGCGAACATTTTTTAACACACCGATCAGGCAAAACATTAAAACACTTGCAGGTGAAGTGAATAACATTGATCACCTCATTAAAATGCAGTGTTCTGATGGGAAACTATTGGTCCCGTTAAGTAAAAGGGACAAGGGAATTTGGAGGTCAGGTCAATGCCTTGAGCTCTTTGTCGTGTTCCTTGGGCCAGTCCTGAACAGTGTTGTGACATGGTGCTTTGTCCTGCTGGGGAGGGGGGCACTGCTATCAGGGTGTGCTGGTGCCATAAGAGAGGTTGCTTGGTTTGGAATTGTGTCTGGTTAGAGCATGTTAAGTGGCATCCACATGCTAGGACCAAAAGTTTCCCAGCAGAACATGGCATTGTAACCGGATGATCAAGGTTATTCATTTCATCTGTCACTGGTTTTAATGTTTTGGCTGATCGATGTCTATATAGATATAAATATAGACATAGGTCATGTATAAGTTAGCATTATTAACATTTATGAGGCACTTTACACATGAGAAAATGATGATTACATTGTTCTATTTAAACATACTTTTTGTTGTTTAAAAAGGACTTGCACATTACACATTTTAGAACTTTTTCATAACACAAAGCTTACTACTACTACTACAATTGTTTCGTGGTACCTCACTTTTAAAGATTAAAAAAATACTCTGTCCCTATCAGTACATTTCTGAACAGCCACTCATGTCTGCCATTATGTGTCACACCCTCTCTTTACATAAGTATTTATGCAGGAATGAATTCTCAGTAGCTGCATTATATCCACCATGCATTCACTGAATGTGCCCCAAGCAGATACCTAGTTAGGGTGACTGTAAAATATGTCATGCTTGGTATAACAATAACAAAGTTTGGGCTTTCACTAAGAATAAGGATAAGGCAGCCGTAATGTGGACAACATGTATGAATAACTTCAAGCCTTTTGTGCAGTTGCGTTACCACTGAGTTTTAGGAGTAAGGATGATCATTAAACTGTGAAGAAGTAAAGCTGTTGAAAAATAAAAAGCCAAAGCATGCTAATGAAATCACAGAACAAACATGGATAAAACTGATTAGTGACATACATAAACTCATGCCAAGAGTGTTATGTATCGGTGAGTGAGATAATAAAAAGAAAGGAAACAGCATGCAAACATCTATTGTGACATTTACCGTGACAGAGGAAAATATAGTAACAAACAAACAACACTAATTATCTGGAGCACTGATGATTGAGAAAGAACCAGTTAATGCACAAACTCAGTAAGACCACTCAGCATTAGCATGCATGACAAGCAAGTCCACACAGTCGAGTTGCTGCAACAGTCTCAGGCTCCATTTACCTTCGCTGTCAGACATGGCGCCTTGCAAATCATCCATGATGAATGCGATGTCTCGATCATAGCCTCGTGTACGAGATTCCTCCCTCATGTGTTGCTGTACCTCTGGCAGGGAATGACTGGAACCAAATTGGTCCCTGGAGTCAGCAGAGATGGGAGGGAGAGGTCCAGCTGAGGCTCTAGCCATACCCATAGGCTGCCCCACTGGGCTTAGAGGGCTCTCTTCCTCTGAGTTCTGAGCCACAATGGGGATACGGCCCCTACTTTGGCTGATAGGTAGACTGGTGGGCTTTGCTCTTGCCACCCCAGGAGCAAATGCTGCATCAAGGACTTCTCCCTCTGTTTTAAGTCTGAGTGAGGAGCTGGATAGGTCCCTTTTGATAGATAGATCCAAACCATAGACAGATGAGGGACGGGAGGAGGGGCGTGATGAGGGGCGGGAACGGGTGCCACTTGGGTAGGTGCCATCATCGTGGGCAGTGGCCCTGATAGTAGATCCAAGTCCGAGGGACTGCCCAATATTTAGAGAACCAGCTAAGTTGGCCCCCAAGGAGGAGCCTAAATATTTTTGCTGCTCAGACAAGTTCTTTCTTAGTCCAAATGTAATCTCATCCTGAAGCAACCTAGCTGTAGCAGCCAGATTGGTCACAGAGGAGGCCCCAGATCCCATGTAGCTGCCAAAGTCAGGCTCCAAGTCCCTACTCTCCTGAATTGGGGAAAATTTCGTGATGGCCTTAGGGTCTATTAGGGCCTTTTTGTTCTTCATCTGTTTCTGGTAAAGCACAGCTGCTGGGAGTTGCTTTGCAGCCTGTTTTTCAAGGGTGAGCCTGCCGATGCTATATTTCTCTCCTTTAGGGAAGTGGCGAAAACTACCATCACTGGGGAGATACTGGGGCAGGCCCAAGCCTGTTAAATGTTCTAGTCCCTCAGTTCCTCGCCTGAACTCCTGCTTGATCTGCTGCTTCAGTAGCTTCAGCTCATAAGGCTCCTCCATGGTGTCATCTTCTCCTTTACCATAACCCTGAAGTCGAGATGAGCCTAAAAATTCTGCCACCTAAAAGGAGAAAACAATATGCCACACATGAGGTGTTTTCTCAGCAGCACTGTGAATAAGACTTGCACACGAACAAATGCATTTTATGTGTGTTACATATACCTCAAAAATAATTGATCAATGACATAAGTAGAGAAGTGGCCAGACTGAAACATTGTGGATACTGTCTAGTCCATTGTGACTACTGATCTAGTCAATCTCCCCTAAATGTGTGTCCCCATTGACATATACAAGGTGTGCAAAGGTTGAACCTTCAGGAACAGACAGATACTTTTCACACACATTGACATATGTTTGGCCAAGACACTGCAGTATCAGCCCAACAGCTAAAGCCTTGTTTTGCTGACATGTGTTTTGCTGCATCTTGAACAACGGCAGCCAACAAGGGCAAACGTGCTGCAACGGTCCAAAACAAATCCATTAGGAGAAACATACTGCAGCTTCAGAAACGATGCCAATTCTAAAACATATACAAAAATCCACAACAGATACAACAATGGAAACTTGCTGCAAAAAGCAGCTGCAGAAAGCCAAAGCAGATATATTAACAGCAAATACTCTGCAAATGCAGGAATGATGCGATGGTGCCAAAAATACACACACCAGGGAAAAAACTGCATATTAAGTCAACACAATTGAGGCATTCAAGGCCTCTAGGTGGAGCACCAAATGAACAAGAGAATACGTACCATTTTATGTCCCCTCTTAACTCCACTTTTCTTTTCACTTCATAAACAAACAGTCTCTCCCCTGGTCTCCCTTTCTCTTTTGGGTCAAAACTCAAGCTGTTCCATTTAGCGCTCCCCCTAGAGGCCTGAAGAACTTCCATTGTGTTGACTGGACATGAAACATTTTTTTTTATTGCACTTGTTTCCCGGAGGTTGTGTCTTTTTGACTTTGCATCATATTTGTATTTGCTGTTAATACAATAGATTGTTTTCTGCAGCACCTTTTCTTAATTTGCAGCAAATTCCTGTTGTTGTATTTATTTTGGATTATCATATATGTTTTTGACTTGGCATAATTTCTGAAGCTGCAGCAAGTTTCTCCTAAAAGAAATGTTTTGGGCCGTTGTAGCATTTTTGCCCTTTTCAGCCATCATATTAAACAGGCTATAAAAATTGCATGATAGGAATAAAAGAAAGATATTGCAATACTGTCAAATTTCAAAAGTATGTTTATCCAGAGACGGATTGGTAAAACTGCACCCTAAAAAGCAAATTAAAAATATAGCTATGTACATGAAGAGATGAAAAAGGTGAAAATGAGGATAATAAAAGACTATGTATTTACCTCTGCTGTTCGCCTGACTTCTGCTGCCCTGAGGAGTCTGTCTGCCTTGGACAACTCCTTATCTGGCATGTTGAATCCAGAGCCCAAGCCGGTGTTGCTCAGCCCTGTTGAGGCCTTGGTGAGCTCTCCTATGTCCTCTATCAGCACATAGTTCCTGGCATTGTGGTGGTCAATATCGGCATAGAAGGAATCAGCAGAAATGCTAGACATGGGACTAGAGGCCATGCTCCTTTCCTCCAGCCCTAGCCTCAAGTCGAGGCTGCCATACTTGCCTCCCAGGTGAGCAACCCCATAACCACTTTCTGTGGAGGTTGGCACAATGAGCAAAGGCTGGTTGCGTATCACTTCATAGTTGGTGTTGATCTTAGGCTCTAAATCAGACAGGGTGGTTTGTCGCTGCTTTCCCTGCTGCAGGAGCAGAGCATGTTGGTAGTTGCTAGACTGTGCCTGGGCATGGGAGAGGGATAAGGTTGGGTAAGGAGACACCTGTTGGTGGTAGAGGGACTGCTGTTGATATAGGTTCTGTTGGGTGTAGTGGCTGGTGGTTTGGGTCTGGGGAACATACTGGGCATAGTGAGAGTAGGGACTAGTTAGTGTGTTGTACTGGGAATCAGCTTCCGTCTGTGGGGGGATGAATTGGTCAAACTCTGACTGGGGTGCTGTCCGTGGTCTCTCCAGGCCGTCACCCCTGGCCTCTCTGATGTTGCTAACTTCACTGTCAGACATGTAGTCTCTTTCCTCTGCCACCCCCTGGAGATAGGCCCTCTCTCTCTTCTCTCTCTCCTTCAGCAAGGCCTCCTTCCGCCGGTTGATACCCATCTCCAGGTACCTACAGTAATGGGCACATACTGTTTTACAATTTGAGCACAAAAAATTCTATTATCATTACAACCAAAGAGCCAAATATTGTTCTGGGTTCTCACACAGTAGTACCTTTCGTACGAGTGTGACATGTGTGAGTGTGGAGAGGTCTCACTGAGTGGTGTCAAGGCAGCCTTTTAGCCCATAAGCTATCAAGGTAAGAGGGGAATCATGCAGATGAATTAGGAATAATGATTGGATGAGAGGGACACACGCAGTGATATTAGTTTACAATCAACACAACTTACTCACTGGTTAGTAACATTATTTGTTAATGATGTAATGTTACAGGGTCTGACAATAAGTGCAAACCCATATCCTAAATTGTGTTGATGTTACATCTGTGGTATCTCACCGTAGCTTGGCGTCAATCTCTTTTTCCTCTTCGTCTAGCTCAGCTTGTTTCTTGCGAAGTTTAGAAGATTCTCTCTCCACAAGATCAAGCTCCTTGTCAATGTCCTGAAGGATCTTTGCCCGGGCCATTGTTGTACTGCGGGCAAGACGGCGACGAGCAGAGTTGGTGCTGTAGCCTGTCCGTCCTGTCAGAGTGTCATCCTCAGGAGGAGGGTCTGGTAGCGTCCGCTTCACCTTCTTACCTGTACCAGAGGGAGAGCTTCGGCTCTAGAACACAAAAACAAATGATACATCACACAGTTGTAATTCACTTCATGCTTCACTAAAATGTCATCATTCTGACACAATCATGAGTGTGGTATTTATCTTTATCAACAATAATACAACAAGTCTTATTGTTGCCATTTATATTCTGCTTTGACTTACATTATAGCTGTCTGCATAGTATCCACCCATTCTGTCTTCTGCGGCAGGACTAAGGGATTTCGGATCAGACAGAGACTTCTGACCAGCCTTCAATATTCGAGGACCAGAGGAAAATCTGGTTGGGTCAGCAGTCAGCATTCTCTGCCCTCCAAGTGACTTTTCCGGGGACAGCGGGGAGACTGAGGTGTAGAAGACTTTAGACTTAGAGGGGACATCTGCTGTTAAGTGTGTGCTGTAACCAACCTCAATGGGTGTGTGTCTTCTGTCTGAGTCTGTCTGACAGCTCAGACTGCCACCTCTCTGAGAGTTCTCTGGAGCTGAGATATGCTTGATGATTTCCACCTTCGTGTCCATCTGGACATTGGGACGTTTGATAGTTCCAGAGTGGTCAGTCTGGACAGATATCTCAGCCACTGTCTGGATAGCGATGCTAGAGACCTTGGAGCCATGTTTCCCCTCACTGCTATGTTTTCGAGACCGTCGCCGAGCTTTTGTAGGAGCATCCCATTCGTCTTGGTCCTCATCATCAGTCTGAGCTGAGCTATCAATATTTCTCTTATTCTTCTTTCTCCTTCCTACATGCTGCTTCTCTGCTGAATCTTCATCATCTGTCTGCACTCCACTATCAATTATTTTTTTCCCTGTGTCCTGATCAGCTTGAAGCTTCTTTACTAAATTAAGTTGATCCTGACTTTCCTCTAACTGTGTCCCAATAGATGGAGTTGTAGACTCATCTTTGACAGGCCAGTACTGGCCACTGTCCCCTACCCCTGCATATTTAGCATCTAGGAGGTTTCCTGTGGTGCCAGTGCTACCATAGTGCTCATCAAGCTGGCGCTGGAGTTGCAATTGCAGTTGTTGAATTTGTTGCAACTGCTCTTTTTGCTGGGCATATGTCTCCTGCTGGGCCACCATGTGGGCATGGTGCTCTTCCTCTTGCTGCAAGAGAAGCTGCTGTTTCAGTGCCTGAAGCTCCTCAAGCTCCCTTTGGACCATAAGCTGCTCCTGTTCACGGTAACGCTGGATCTCCTGCCTCTCCCACTCCAGCTCCTCTGCAAGGCATAGCTGCTTAAGCTTCTCTAGCTCTAGAAACTCCCTCTCCATCTGATATTGGGCCATCTTGGTGTTGTCTAAGCCAGGGAATATTGGGGAAGAGGCTAAGGCATCCAGAGATGCAGCAATTGCTTCCAGGGTGGTGTCTGAGTACATGTCTGGATAGCCTGTTATGATGTCAGCCAAAGCTGTGGGTAGAAGCTCCTTAGGTAGCCCTGTGTCATAAGGAATTATCTGTCCTGGGTCTGTACTGGGAATGAAGCCATACGGATGCGGCAATGACTGGTTCTGGACTGCTGATGTAGGTGTTAAGGTAGTGCTAAAGACGGAGCCTGGTTGTGTTGTAATTGCATATGTGGACGGAACTGGGACAGCAACAGAAGAGTAAACTATTCCATCTGAAGTTCTTAGAACACCGGTTACACCAAACCCAGCTGCAGGAACCTGGGAGTATGGAGCAGTAGTCATCCCAGGGTAGACTCCAGTTTTGCTAGTGTAGTCTAGAGCTTTACCTGCCATAATAAGCCCAAAGATGTAGGTTTTACTTCATCAAATATATTATTATTTCAGAAACAAACACATTGTTCTCTACACTAAATGAAGGTCATGCAATTTGTATTTAAAAGGATTTTCATTTCACATGCATATCTGCAGTCATTTTGGCTAGCAAGATGCAAAACCAAAATATTGAGGGAGCACACGCAGGCAAACACATGCATCTGTATGAAGACAAAAGAAAACAAAAACAAGCTGGTGTTAATATTTAATGAAAGCATGCATATAAAACCAAAGCAAATTGAAGGATAATCAAAAGCAGGAGTTACCAAACTTAAAGGGGACACAACCACAAATGCCTCGCGTAAGCAAAGTATTGAACTGTACAATCCACATTAAAGAGCAAAGGGGCTTTGTAAATAAAAGTTTCAAGTTTATTAAAGCAATCAAATGCAAGCCCATAAAGCAAGCACAGAGTATGGTAATAAAACCTGCAAGCATGCAGAAAAAAACCCATACTCACCAGCAGAAAGTTTGGCAGCAGTGAGGTCTATAGCGTCATCTGCAGATCCACTGAGATAGTCATAGTCATTCTTGCTGTCATAAGGGAACAGTACTGCCTCTGTCAGGTTGGTCTCAGACATTGAAGCTTTAATGCCATTCATGCCTTTGATACCATACAGTCCAGCATTATCATATTGGTAGTGGTCATCCCTATAGCCAAAGCGGTTGTCAGGCTGGGTTGTAACCGGGGGCTGTGTTCTGCAGCTTCCTGTAAATGGTAGCTTGTAAAGGACATCACAGCACACGCTCCTCCTGCCAGCTGTAAGGTCGACTGGAGTCCCGTCATCCTCTACAACAGTGGTCACCACTCCTGGGCTTGTGTCAGACAAAGCTACCATAGATCTCACTGGTCTGTAGTTTGACAGATCCATGGCCCCTGTGGCCTCTAGAGAAAGAACAGGACCTCCATTGCTGATAGCTGTTGGGGAAGTCATTGGCTGTTTCCCTCCTGGGGTGACTAGAGCTCCAAAGGAAAGATTAATGGGTATGTCTTGAGCTGTGGATGCTACAGCACTTACAATGGGCTGGGAATTCACAGGTCTGTATACAATCTGAGCAAGTGGTTCAAATGGTTTGTATGTAGTGAGCGCCAGAGGCAATGAAGTAACAGGGCCCTGCAAATCCAGTGGTTTTTCTGCTGGAGTGTTGTTATATGAGGCAATGGTGGCTGTGCATGTGACTATTGTGATGCTGTCTGTGACCACAGACAATGTGGTCGCAGGAGTGATCTCTGCACTAAGATTTACTATTTCAGGCTGCACAGCTGTGATTTGACGCCCACTAGAGTCACTTGAAAAAGACTGTCGACATGACTCAGGTGGTGTTAGGTCCATGCCTTGTTCAGTCATCTTTACGCCAACCTTCATTGTACGTAAATCGATAACATCACCAGGGTAGATTATTTTGCCATTCTGTTTTGGCAGAGATTGGACTTTAGCTATGTCTGGTTGAATAGTGATTGCTACACTTGGCTGAGGGACTTGTGGAAGTCTTTCATGGACAACAGAGACAGTGGTCCTTTGGACCTCAGTGGTAACCACCTGAGTGACCAGGTTAGGCAGGTTTTCAGGAGGCTGGCCTGAGGTGGAAATTGAAGAAGAATACATGTGACTCATACTGGAGACCACCTTTTCTGGTCCTCGAATCTCTTGGCTCTCAATAGACTCTTGCTGAATTTTAGTGATGGTGACTGGGGCCACAGGTACACCTTGTGGAATGTCCTGTGCTGTAGGAACTGAGGTTCTCCTAGTGTATGCCTCAGTGGTTATTATCTCTAGAGGGTGATCATATTCTGAAGAATACGTTAATACCTGGGGTCTTTGTTCTGTTGAATGAATAGATCCTCTTCTGTAGGGGTCCTGAACATTATAACCATCAATAGGAACATCTTTTTCAGCAGGCATATTTACTATATGTGCCATTGGTATTGGCTGCTGCATGGTTATGGATTCTCTCCTGGTGGTAGCAAAGGCCTCAGTTGTAACCACCTGTGTGGGTGTTTCATACTCTGCAGGATAAATAAATGTCTCATTTGTTGTGTATGTTGGCTGTACTATTGAAGATATAGATGTTCTCCTCCTACTGGTGGTTTCCTCAGTTGAAATAACTCCAACTGGCATCCCAGCCAATGCCTGGGGCTGCAACACTGGTGATGGTATTGAAGCTCTTACATCAACTTCCTTTGTTATAATCTCTGTGGGTGTCTCACGTTCAGGCTGCAATGCTATGACTTCCAGTGGTGGCATTGAATGTGGCATGACTGAGGAAGTAATCGTGTCATAGACCTGTGGAATGTAGGGGACTTCTGGCTGCACTGCCATTGGTTGGACTTCCATGACAGGAGGTGATGGTGTTACTTTACCAATTGTAGGAGTTATCTCAGCAACTGTAGTTGGCATAAACTTAGGTACTTCTGGTGTTGGAGTTACTTCAGCAACTAGAGGTAAAGGATAAGGTACTGGAGATATGGTTGCTACTCCTGGCAATCTAACAGCAGTATCAGTTGTAATAACTTCTGTAGGCATTTCAAACTCTGTCCGGAGGGTTGACACTTCAGCTACAAGAGATGGCTGCTGCGAAGATAGCTGCTCTGTCATGAAAGGCTGAACAGTGTGTGGCACTGATGGGAGTTCAGCAGAGTAAGTCATTGCTTCAACTACGGTAACTTGCTGTTGAGCAGGAATTTGCTGGATCTCTCCCTGTACCATATCTGTCTTGGTGACTGTAACATGAGAAGGTATATCCTGTTGTTTCTGCAGCATTTCTATTTGAGCTGTAACTGGTGGATAAGAGATATCAGGGGACACTGTAGCTGGTCTAACTTGGGGAACTAGTGCATCTAAAGGTATCTCAGGCTGCAGAGGTACAGCAACAACTTCTGTTAGAGCCTGTGGCTGCACAGGTACAATTGGTATTGGGGCCTGAGGAACTAATGCTTCAGCTGAAACCTCTGATGGAACTGTTATGACCTCTGTGGCTGTGCTTGGTTGTTGAGCAAGTGGTACAGACGGGGCTCTTGCTGTGGCTTGGATTGTTTGTGGTTGAATAACAACCATTGGCTCTGGGGGCATTGTGATAACCTCAAAGCTTGTTTTAGGTGGTGGCACTGGCTGAGTAATTGGTTGTTGCTGTTGCATATATGGTTTCTTAATTGGAGGAGGTACACTAATTGCCTGAATCGATGTTTCCTGAGCTGATGACACTACCATGACATCAGCTACAGGTGGTGGTGTTGGTGGTGGTAACACTTCAGAAGGCACAGAGTCTCTCCTGGCTTGCACTTTGGCAACCACTTCCTCAGAAGATGTCACTTGCTCTACTGCCACAGTTGGAGCTATGGCTATTGGAGGTGGGTGCCTTACAGTGGGGACAGAGGCTCTCCTAACTGTAGCCTGTGCTGAGAATGCCTCAGTAGGTGTTTTCTGTTCTAAGGGCGTGGTCCGTACACCTGACACTTTTGTAGATGGAATGGAACCTCGTCTTACAGGCGCTTGGACTGTTATGGCCTCTGTTGGTGAGCCAGGCTCAGATGGAAGGGTTATCACCACATAGGTTTGCAAACATTTGGCATGTTTAGGAGACAAAGGTGACTTAGGAGATGTTGCACCCAACTTGGATTCCACGGGTCGTGTCAGGCTAAGTGACAGAGCATTTGGAGGTTCTTTGGTCCTGGGTAGTGTTGCAGCTTTGGGCATCACATGAGGGGGAGGTGGTTTGACACTCTCTCCTGGCTTGTGGCTGAAAACCAGTCCAGCAGGAATTGATATAGGCTTAGGTGGTATGGGTGGAGGAGGCTTTGTGGTTTGACTGGGGCCAGTTGTTGTGTCAGAAACTTGTGTTACTGCTGCTGTAGCAATAGTGACTGCAATGGGAACTGCTGTTTTTGAATAAACTGTTGGCTTTGGTGAAGTAGTTGAGGGTGGTGGAGGTGTATCTGCTACAGGTATTTCTACTGTGTCTACAATTGTTGTACCTGCCATAGGTTTAGCGGGAAGTGGTGGAGCTGAAGCTACTGGCACTACTGACACCTTTGTGGATAGTGAAGTTGTAACTGTGCTGGGTATATCTGAGGCTATTGGACCACTTAGTGGCAGAGAAGCGGTGGAAGCTATTGACCCTGTGCTAGCTTTATCTTGTGGGGTTTGTCCATGCAGAGACATGTTTTCCACACTTGGCACTATAATTACAACATGTCCTTGTCTGGTTGGGGTCACTACTTGAGGAACAGCCATGTTATCAGGTTGCATGTCTTCCATTCTTGGCTGTATATCCACAACTACAGACTGCATTTGCTGGCCAGCCGCTGTGGCTCCCCTAGCTACAGTGGTGGTCATAATTGGGGTGACCTGCTGAATAGTTCTTACAGGCTGCAGCTCTGTGTTAGGCTCAGGTAATGACACTGAAGTAGACCGAGGGGGAGGAGGTGGTGGAACCTTCTTTTTGATTATAGTAGTTGATGCTGGAGTAGGCACGTGGGCTGTTTGAGCTGGGATTGTTCCTGGGCTCACTGATGGGACTGTTGCTTGTACAGGGACTGCATGTACCACTTTGGCTTGGGCTTGAGCTGGGGTAGTTATGAGTGATGAGGTTGGTAGTGGGGCTTGTGCAGAGATTGGAGATGTTGTTGAAACCAAGTCAGGCATTTGTACTATGACTGGCCCAGGGCATGAATCCAGAGTGAAAGGAACAACATGGGCTGAAACTGGAGTGGAGACTGCAGCAGGTGTAGCAACTGCAGCAGGTGTAGCTGTAACTAAAGTTTTAGGTTGAGCTGACACAACAGCAGGTGCTGGACTCTGTGCTGAGACAAGTATAACAGCTGGAGCCTCAGTAGGCACCTGAGATGGAGATGAAACCAAGTCTGGCATTTGAACTATAACAGGTACAGGAGTAGATGTCCCATGTGGGGCTGGAGTTGAAGCTTCAGCTGTAGGAGCCTTAACTTGAATTACTGCTGTTGTTTGAGCTTTGGAAGGATCAGACACCACATCTGGTATTGTAACTATGACTGTGGCTGGAGCAGGGTGAGAGACTGAGCCCTGACTAGACGGTACTGTTGCAATTGTGGCAGCTGATGGTGGTGAGATCTCTGGAGGTGACTGTGTTACAAATGAAGTTGGAGGTGTTGGTGTAGACAGCGGAGTTGAATCTGCTGAAAGTGGTGTTTGAGCTTGGAATGAGGATGAAGATGTAGCATTAGAAGCCAAACTGGAATCTGGAGTGGCTGGTGAAGTTGGAGGTGACATTGGTGATACAGGCGAGGGTGTAGTGGTTAGTTCTGGGGCCGATATTGGTGTTGGAATAGGTTTTGGCGCTGGGATTTCACAGACAACACAGATAGGTTCCATCTCAGCGGTTTCAGACAAAGGTGGGCTTATGGATTGATCTTCTTTAGTGTCAGATTCATCACTGGGGGTAATGTCAGAGGAAATACCAACACCATACTCGTCTGCAAGACTGTCATCCTCTTCCTCCCCAGATGAACACTGGGTAATCTTAAGGTCTGGTATGGGGAACAATGCCTTCATGAGTGCAGGATCTTGAGGAACCATAGGCCTAACAAAACCTATAGATCCACCAGTAGTGCTAGGAACAACAGTCCCCTCTGAGCGCTTAGGAGGTTCAGAGGGTCGTGGTGGAGCTGGCCTTTTCTTTTTCTTCACTGGCACTTCACCAGAACTTTCAGTGCCTGTAAGAGGCATATCAGTTTGCTCAGTGAGGGATGTCTCTTCCATCGGTATGGTCACCACACAGGTCTCAGCAACTGAGGGAGGCTCAGTGACTAAAGCCACTAATAAAGAAGATTCCATGGCAGTCTGAGCCTGTTGAAACTCTTGCTCTATCATCATCAGTTCTCTCTTTTTTTGCATCATCTCCTCATAAACTTCCTCCGGAGACCTGAGTTTTTTGAGACTCTCTGCGCTAGTATCCTGTTTGAGTTCTTCCTCTGGAGATTCACCTATCCTAAATTCAGGCTCCTCTACTAAGGATTCATAAAGGTAGTCCTCTATTGCCATTCCTCCATAGAGAGGCTCAATATCAGGGGGGCTCTCCCCTGGAATAGCTTTTGTCTTCTGAATAATTTCCTCATATGCTTCTTCGGCACTCTTCAATGATTTTGTCACAGTATCCTTCTCTTTAAATGGATCAGAAGAAAGGTATGGTATCACTGTCGACGAAGGCTTGCGTCCTCTCTGTACAGCTCGCCTAGCCTCTGATTCTGAGTCTATACTTACAGAGGGCTCAGAGCCAGATGTTCTACTGGTTTCAGTCATTACCTGTCTCAGATTCTCTGTAGACGAAGCATCTTCAGTTGGAGACAGTGGTTGGCCATGGGCTCTAAATTCATCTTTGTCTTTCCTAGACTTCTCTTCTCCCCTCATCTTCTCTTCCTCAGAGGAGTCTTCAATAGTGGGGAGAGGCTGGGTTGGCTGCCTGTGCCTACCTTTGCGATGCTGTTTGTCCCCACTGACTTTCCTGTGACTGGGGCTGCTATCACTGTCCTCTTCCAGAGACGAGGCGGACGTGGGTGAAGATCCTGGGGTAAAGCTTGATACCTGAACACTAGACGATCCCTTTGACAGGGATTCTGTGATGCTCTCTACTTCTTCATCAGTGCTTTGTCTCTGTCTCATGGCTGGAATAGCTTTCTTGAAAGTACTGCTGGGCATTGTTTCAGGAACATCTTGAGTAGTTGCAGTTTCAGTTTTTGGGAGGGATTTTTTCCTGGCTGGGCTTTCTTCATTCTCTGTGCTACTTTTTGTGGCTGTCATTGAAGCATTATCAAGCTCAATCTCTTTGATAGCGTCCTCGTCTGCCAAATTATTGTCTTTCTCATCTTCTGAAACAGACATTTCTTCTTCATCACCCATACCCATTATCTGCTTGCGGATGAATTCTTCATCTTCCATAGAGGAGTCAGCGCTTTCAGTTTTAATGTCCTCACTGCTGGATGAAAGATTGCTGACCTTCAGCCTTCTCCTCTGGACTTGAGGTGAGGGTGTGAGTTCACTTTCGCTGCTCTCATCCATTGCTTGGAAACTTAGGCGCCTTCTTTCAGCCTTGACCTCCTCCTTTACTGGAAGGGATGTATCTGTATTTATTTCATTTTTATTTGTATCATCAACCACCTGCCCATCCTTCAATTCCTGTGTAATGGGTAAAATCTGTGGTTGATCTTCTTCAAGCTCCTCTGCTTTGGATTCAGGTGTTTTAGCTGTCGCAGCGGCAACTGTGCTTTCCAGTTTAACCTGCTCAGTAGGTAGAGAGACCTTTCTCTCTTTCACTGGCTCTGCTTTGATTTCATCCTGCTCCTAAAATTTGAAAAAACAAGATAACAGTAAATACATTTCCTTGATAAAAGAACCAGACATTCTGGGACAAACATGACCAGATATATTGCCTGATTTTTACTTCTAACTGCAGCGTGTTAGTAAGAGTTGTTCTGAAAATGGTCCAATGCAGTGGAAGGATGCATTATTCACCCATTGTCCATTTTAGACAAGCAGTAAGAAATAACAGCAGAAGTTGCAGAAGTTACAAACAAGTTAAGCAGAATTTAGGCACCTCTTGAGTTAATCAGTGTAATTGGAACCCCAGAGTGTAGTTGTAAAATGCATCTTTCCAAAACAGTCATAAAAAATTCATCCCTAGTTTTTGGTGTCACATTAGTCATAATAAAAATGAAAAAAGAGGGACAAAGTATACTAACAAATGAGAGGTGAGCAAATAAAGTGACTTCAATAAAATGCAGTAAGATGGTAATGACCAAAACAATGCTTGATGCACAACTTACTAACCTGCTGTTAGGGAAAACATTTTATAGGCTGCACATAGGTTGTCAGTATTTTGAAGCCAACATTGGTGTTTAATCTCAATAATTAATATTGAACAGTAGCTCTCCACAGTATGTAATTATTTGCTTTAATACAATGTTGATGTTATTATGTTTAATTGAACATTTGTCAATAGAGTTAATTATCTTAAAATCAAGGGAACCCATTCTTACTTTTGTGGTGATCTTTGTAGAGACTGGTTGTGTCTCTGGAGTTGAGGTGACGTCAGTAGTCTTTTTAACTGTCTTATCAGCCACTTCCTTGTTGTCAGCTGCTACGTCTGGTTCTACTTTCAGTGTCAGCTGTGGTTCTTGTGACTTTGGTTGCACCTCAACTTGCTGTAATGGTTTTGTTGGCTCTGTCAGTTTGATATGATCATCAGGCTGCACTTCCTTAATAATCCTCTCTGGAGTAGAAAATTCTGGCCTTGTTTCAGTCCTTGGAACAGCTCCAGCCACAGCAACCTCTGCAGCAATAGGGGGGGTGGGTGCAACTGTAGCTTCAGTCACTGGCAAAGAGAAAGCTGCAGCTACACCTGCTTCTGCCTTGACTTTTGGAAGGTCAGGTTTAGACTCCTCAGCTTTTGGACGTTCTGCTTCACCAGGCTCCACTTTCACTACCTCTTCTTTAGTTTCCACTGTCACAGTCTTTGGAACATCTTCAGCCTTTGCTGTTACTGCTTTCTGTTGCACAGCGGCCATAGCAGGTAGAATGGCTTCTGCTGTGGATGCTGTTAAAGGCTGTTTTTCTGCTGTAACAGGTGAAATCTTTGCTGTTGAAGGTATGCGTGTGGTCTCTATCTCGATTTTTGCAGAAACTGCTGTAGCTGTGGGTTCCATTTTGACAGATGGAGGTTCCACCTTTGCTTTTAGGGTTGGAACTGCTGGCACTGCCGCAATGGAGGCAGGTGAAGGCTGTGATTTTGTAGCCGTAGGAGCAGGCTCTGCCTTTGTAGGGGAAATTTTGGGCTCTGCCTTTTTGGCTGTAGGTGTGGCCAGGTTCTCTGGTTTGGCAGATACAGGTGAAGGCTGGGGCATTTTTCCTGAGTCTCCCAGCTGCCCAGACAAAGCCCTCTGAGTCTGGCAGTTCAGACACAGCCATTCCTTCTGTAATCAGACAAACACAAAACAAACATATGATTAGGAGAGACACTATACCAAGATTTACATAAAAAAACCCTAAAGGCCCAATTAGTTAGGTTTTCTTTTCACCCATGGTGCATCACATATGTAATTAAAGTGTTTTAGTTCTTTATTCAGTCGATGTTAAAGCAGCATTTTGTAGAGATGGGTATTTAAAGTAAATTCTAGAATGTTAGAATGGTTGTGTAAATTAGCCAACAACAGAAAACAAGTGCTATTTGAAATTCATTTATTGAACAACCAGGCCTCATTTTGCCTAATAAACCATAAATTGAAAGTTAACATGAGAAAAATCAATGTTACATTAGTTAGACATAGTGCTAAGGATGACCTCTCCAGCCGCTCCCCCCGTGGTCAGTTCAACTTCTGCCCATTAGGCATGAGCTAACACAGCAGCAGTGGCTAACATCCTACACCAAGCCGTTTAATGTCCCAACAAACTCAAACAGACACTGCAACATCTCAACTTTATCATTAAGCTGGTTAATAACCATAAAGTAATATTAGCGGTGTGATGCTAATAGTTCGCCTCATCACTATGTGTGTGTGTATGTGTGTGCACATACATATAAAACATGTAACATAATGTAAAAGGCAGGTTCACATGTAGGAGAGGCAGCATCGAGTACTCTATATGTTAAACGAATGCTGAGGTCCAAAAAGTACTCGATTACTCATGCCCATCCCTAGCATTTTCCAGGTTTCTCATCAGATCACCATTCAAGGTGTAGGCCTAGAGGGGTATTTTATAAAGGAGGATAAGAAAAAGAAGGTTACTGTGAAATATCTGACTTGAGTGAAGCTAACAGATGAGTGAACAACACAGCTGCGGCTTTTGCAACCTGCTACTTTTCACTATTACTGAGCTCATGACTCCTGCCAGTGCTGTTTTCGGCTGCAACTCTCACCACCACTACAACTTCTTCCTCTTATGCTAAGTTTTGTTTTGTATTGTTGACTTCAACCTGATGTTCTTATATATGTTTATTAAGGATGGATTAGTTATCGCAAAAGCACAGCCTTTTTTTTTTTTTTTTTTTTTTTGCCAAATCCAACAGTAAAATGCATTTGCCATTAATGGTAATCTCCTTGATGTAAGCTCTGACTGAATTAGCGTTTCTAAAAACTAACAAAAACAAGCAGTATGCTGTTGGGTTTGTGGTGGTAAATCTGTCTACATGGTGCAACTGTATGTACTTTCTTTTGCACATTTTTTAAAAAACTGAAATACATAAAAGCAACGCTGTGTATTTTCTCCAATGCATTAAATGCACGTGTTTTGTGCAGAGACATTACAATAATGCAGGGCTGGCATTCTATATTTAAAAAAAAGGTAAGAAAGAAAAGTAACAACAAGCAGCTACACATTTTGATTGAATCCTGTTTCTAACTTTCTTCAGATTTATGGGCACAATGACCGTAATGAGGGAGAGGACAGACTTAAGCTCAGCTTTTGAACAAAACTAGCTTTTTGTTCATTTTTTGTTACAATGCTTTAGTCTGAGTTAAAGTAAACCCTGAAAAGTAGCCTGGCCAGGAGCTGAATTACACTGTGTTTCTTCCATTGTAACATATAGCTCCAGAGACTTTGCTGAAAAGTAGCCTAATTTGCATATGAATGAGACTGCCTCAACTCTTTACTTTGTGAAAGACCTTTACATTTTACTCCAGTTTTTAATAAGCCAAACAAAACAAATATGCAACAGATAATTAGATAATTAAAGAATAATGCAAAACGTATAGCACATTGTCTGGTGTCTAGTCTTAGTATTGATATACCTGTTACTGAACTGATACTGATTGCAGTTTCAAATAGGGATACATTTAGCTTTTAGACTGTACCTTTAAAGTTTAATCATATGAAAGCTAAATACATGTTAAAAATAACACACTAACTGTTTAATATCATATCTACCGAGGCAATCAGTTATTTCGGCATTATAGCATCTTACTTGTTATCGATATGAATGTGATACAGTACAACACAGTCTCTTATGCTGAGTAATACCCTGACACTCAAAGTAATATAAATTCAATCTTCCCCCGGCACTCGTTTTGCTTTACAATTCAAACAACCAAAGCATCCACACAGACTAATCACCAATAAATAACATGTTCAATAGAAGCTTGCGCTCCCCAATATGAATATACTTGCTGCTATTACACTAAAACTTACGACACTTGTAAGACAGCAATAAAAATGCTTACCTTGCAAAAGAGCTAATCACATTTTATAAGCAACGCTATTACTTTGAAAATATAATCCTCTGAAGACACATTTCTTATCACATCTAAGCTCCATTAATGGGCAGCTGAGGAGGAGAGGAAGGATTAAGCTGTCAATAGACAAAGCAGTGTGTCTGTAGCAACCTAGCAGACCAAATCACAGCAATGCGCCTGCCTCTGCAGAGCCAGGCAGAACAGTCCTGATACACAGGACAGAGGAGGAGATTACATCACACACACATCCTGTTTGTGGAACACCATTAAGTTTTAATTGCTCTATCCACAAGATAACATATTAGAATCTATCCACTTTTCACACATCTTAATTAAGGAACCACAATGGCCACATGTGCACACTAATGCCCATGCACTTCAGAAACAGGAGAAGGATCTGGATGTGTCTTTAAACACACACATTCTGTCTTGGAGATTAGCACTGGTTCAGGATGCAGTGAATTAATAACATAGTTCACAGGCTCATGTGCCGAGTTGGGCTTTAGTAAGTGATGTAATCTACCCTCTGTCATACACTGGCTTAGGCCTGCTCTTACACTCCAGCTGTGTTGGGCATTTCATCTGTGTTCCCATAAACAAGCCGAAAATATCACACTGCTAAGACCTTACTCCTAAACAGAAAGACAAGCCTGGAGGGATCATTTAAAAGTGATTGGTCAACGCTGGCAAAATATCACTTGGAGTCATTTTTTGTCCTACTTAGGGTTATTATTATTGTTCCATTGAATACAATAAATCCACTGCGACTAGAGCATAGCTGAAAACATAAATGCACATATTCTACCCTGAGACTGTGTGCAGCAGCAACACTGCAAGAAAAGCATGATTAGCTGCATTGCTGTAAAATGCCTTCTCCGACTAAAGACATTCGCGGCAAACAGAATTACAGCTAATATACCGTGTAATATATACAGTCTGTGATAAATAAAATCATAACGCAAAACACTGCTTGCCTCAGGAGAAACCTGATATTGATGCATCCACTTTGATTGATACTGGGGTGCTTTTGTTCTGTCAGTTGTGGCTCAGTGAGGAATATGATAATCCTATTGGCCCCCAACAGTCACAAACAAAGCCTCATCAGCATATTGCATGATGCTCATAATCGTGTTAACCAATAAATCATTTCAACCTCTATTTCATGTGATTCGATGCAAGCTCAGCCTCACTAATGTTTACCTTTGAAGTTGGACAAACACTAGGATTCACAAAAAAGCTAAATTCTACCAAAGGTAATTTATTTTTCTTTGTAAACTGTTGCACACATTGCAGCTTGTTCATGTACAATACAGAGTAGCTCATGAATCAGTGCTTTTTAAATAGAGTTGATTATTAAAACCAATCTTCTGTTAAATGTTAAAGATATGTTATATATGATATAATTCCCACACATCCCTCCACGTCTCCTCCTCCTCCACCTCCTCCTCCTCTATCACATTTGCAGGATGTAATCACAGCTAACAAGGAGCGTGCTCCTGTCACATACATATGCTAATCAGCAAAATCATGTCCCTACCAAGGCCATTCACATAATAAATTAGCAATCATGAACTCCAGCTCTTCCTACATTTCTGATCATCTTACAGATCCACCATAATGGCCTTATCAGAGGCAGCTCATATGCACTGATGCTATCCTTATAGCTACGGAAATGAATGTAATTATATCAATATATAACTGCCATTTTAGAAGAAAATATATATCAGAATCTATTCTTTCTTTGTAGATCAAATCCTGAGCTGTTAAAATACATAATTTGAGACAATATGATATACACAAAAGCACAAAAAGAATAACTCATTGTTCAATTTTAGATAGAGGTGCACTTGGATGAAAAATCAGATCAATTTCATAATTCCTAGAGAGAGACTTATGAGTAAATAGACAGCTCATTCACATTCCCAGCTCATCAAATATCATCACTTTGTCACTGATCTCGGTGTAAGATACTGACACAAAAAGGCACCTTTCGCACAATATAAAAAAAGAATCCACTGGTTCAACTTAAAAAAAAATTAAAGTAACAATTTGCATTCATCTTTTAAGTAGTTCCAACTCTGGCATTATTGAGTCAGTTCTTTGAGACTTTTATAGTCTGACAAACACAATTAGTTTAGGGTTTGCTTTGACCTCAAAAAGCTTAATGAAGTTGACTCAACTTAACATGTATTCAAAATTCTGTTGATATTTAGCGGTGACATCATTTTATTTAAGATATTCTAACTTATTTATTTAAATTCCATCCTACTCAAATGTCAAAATTGTTTTGATTTTGACTAACTTCTTAATAATAGTCATTTTTTTTATGCTAAAAACTTCTTTATGTTAAGCATTATCCACTAACCCCATGGAGTGCAGCAGTAAACTGCACACTGGGTGGTGGCAGTCATTGACGCAGCAGGCAGCAAATGAATTTGTCAAATGCGGTAGCTATGTCAGTGGACATCTGCATGAGTTACCGACACACAAAGGCACCTTACATACTGTTATGAAACACACTGGCAGCAACAGTATGTAATGCTGCAAGCAACTACATAGTATTAACAGTTAAAAGTCCTTATAGGGCAGACAGGAGGGGTAGTGGGTGGGTCAAACAAACACTGAACTTTCACCTGTGAGTCCACTGCTCATTTCCCATGTGAAACCAAAAGGCGATGATGTTATTTTAATAAAAGTAAGTAAGTGAGTAAGTAGGGTGCTAATATCTATAACATGCTAAGACA